TCCTGATCAAGATATCTGATGGTAGAGTCAGAATTTGGCGTAAACAGAATGAGAACATGGATCCATCATGCCTTGTCACCATTGTGCAGGCTGGTGTGGTGGTGGTGTAATGGTGTGGGGGATGTTTTCTTGGCACACTTTAGGCCCCTTAGTGCCAATTGGGCATTGCACCAGAGCATTGTTTCTGACCATGTCCATCCCTTTATGGCCACCATGTACCCATCCTCTGATGGCTACTTCCAGCAGGATAATGCACCATGTCACAAAGCTCAAATCATTTCAAATTGGTTTCTTGAACATGACATTGAGTTCACTGTCCTAAAATTGCCCCACAGTCACCAGATCTCAACCCAATAGAGCATCTTTGGGATGTGGTGGAACGGGAGCTTCATGCCCTGGATGTGGATCCCACAATCTCCATTAACTGCAAGATGCTATCCTATCAATATGGGCCAACATTTCTAAAGAATGCTTTCAGCACCTTGTTGAATCAATGCCACGTAGAATTAAGGCAGTTCTGAAGGTGAAAGGGGGTCAAACACAGTATTAGTATGGTGTTCCTAAGACTCCTTTAGGTGAGTGTATTAATCTGTTCAGTTCACAAAACAATTTTGAATGATGCGTTGACTGATCTGGTTCTTGAATAAGTGATTCTTTTGTAACGGGTCTTGAGCAGAGCTCACTGTAGGTGAAGATAATCAGCAAATAATTTTCATTTTTGGGTGAACTATTCCTTTAAACCCCTTGCACAGCTACCTATAGCAGGACTTTATCCCTTTAGCAGCATTTGAATCTCAGTTCAGAGTTAAGCAAAGCTTAGTGCAGGTGTGCTGCTGGTTTTCTCCAAATTCAACCGCAAAACCTACTCCTAGGCCTAGTGCTCCTATATCAGACGCACGTCAAGAACAGATGGAAGTGCTTTCAGTTCTGCATGAGAGTGCTGTGGTGAGGAAATGTGTCTGCTACCAGCAACAACACAGTTGATGCAAAAACCCATATCTTTCTGGCATCGGAAAGATGTTTTGCTGTTCGTTGTGGTGTCACAGATTTTCATTTTGTTTTAATGCACTGACTCTGAAACTGCATTGAATGCCTCTGATTTTTTTTTTTGGCACCTTCCAAATATGGTATTTTACTCAAAAACCCTCTTCCATAACATTCGCTTTCCTCGTGCACCAGCCATTGGGGGTGAGCAATCTTTCTGAAATTTTATATCAATGTAATGGTACATTTTAAAATGTTAAAGAAATGTTATACATTATAAAACGTTGTTTGTAAATGTATTCAGTGAATTTAATACTTACAAAGAAAAAGAAATGTATACTTAAGATATGATTAGATGAGCCAAGCTCACTGTACATGAGTTAAATTCTATGTTAATGCTTATTAATAAGTTAAGTCACAACATTGCTTGGCAACCATAAACAACATTGCATGGCTGTTATGTCAAAACTTACTTTAAATTGTGTCACACAGACATATTGCCATGTAACAGTATGGCATATTTTCTACTGGTTGACTGTATATAATTATACTGACCAGCCGACCATTTTTTATTAATCATTTTTATTTATCATAAAATATAACTTAATATTATTATTATTATTATTATTAAAATATACTATTTTATTAAAATATACTATTTGTCCTAGTTTACAATCTTTTTATGTAGGTTTTACGGTTTCACAATTCTTTGTTATTTGTAAGCCTTTTTAACTAAGTAGAGTCATCAGGCCCATTTGCTGCCCTATTTTAAATTGTCGTGCCCAGTGCATGTCCTCTCACATGGGTCATATCTGGGGCAAAGTGTCTGTGCGGTTGACGGGGAAGTGTAAGAGGTATTGACCAGTTTAGGTGGAGATTATGCTGATCGTCTTCACTGCGTGATAAGCCGCAGCTCATGTCCTAAGCGGAGTTGTCAGGTCCGCCCTGTGCTCCCCTGTGTGGGATCGCTGACTCAGGCGGCCGGGTCTTAGATCCAGCCCTGACGCAGATTATGACCTTGGCTGACAGTCTTGGGAGGCCTCATTAGCGACACACACCGGGACAGCCCAGAAAAAGTGTGCTAATTAACCTGCTAACAATGTCCTTGCTTAGTGAGCTCACTGCAGAGCCTCCGTCCGAGGATAATAGCCTTCCTTAGCTGCCAGAGGAGGAGCTGGAAGATGGAGCTGTTGTTTGGACTGATGCCCTGTTAAGGGGATGGATGGGGGAACTTGGATGACCTATAGAGAACGGCAGAGTTGTTTCCTAGATAAAGGTTAAATGGATGTTTGCGCTACACAGAGTAGGATAGCTTCACGCAAGTTTTTAATATTTTATAGAGCTGTTGCCAAATTAGAGTAGACAAACATGAAATTTTTAATAATATTTAAATCTAAACGCTATTTAAAATGTTTTGTACTAGAGTTCGTTTAAGTTGTTTGGGTGTTTTCTATGGTGTAACTTATATAGATGTAGCATATTGTGTGAAATCGCTTTGTAGGGAATTTGTTGATTTTATTAATTTATTTCACGCTCATTTTATTCATCTGGGAGATTGCCAGCCTCAAATGAAATGATTTTTATTCTTGTAAATGTACGACAGTAATTGTGCTTTTGCTGTATTGTGTACTGTAAGGTTTATATTTATGTATAATATAGTATGTATATAATGTATTATATATATATATATATATATATAGTATTTATTAAGTATTAATAGTATCTGAATAGTTTTTAATTGAAAATGTATCTTTAAATGACAGTTTCTATATTAGTAAAATAGGTTAATATTTATCTATATAATAATATTTTGTTCCACGTTTATATGTATATACTGTATGTATGTATTGTTTTAAATTAAATAGTATTTAATTTAATTAGTATTAATTTTATGTTTAATATTTTGTGTGTGCATTGTTTGTAATAATTATTTGACCAACATCATTTTTAAAAAAAATAATTTTTAATAATTTGCTTTTTTTAACTCATGACATTACAATATTGTCAGAACGTAAGATAAAATCATAATTTGTCCAACAATATATAGCTCAGTGAATGCTGTCATTATGTATAAGTATCGTGTATCTGATCTTGTGTCGTACAGTGGACCAATGGCATTTCTGTCAGCCTTTTGGGTTCTCGGAATGACAAGTGAATTTGTAGCCCAGTTTGGTCATGGAGAATAAATTCCTGTACGTGCTGTGTTGTTTGTAGACGAACTGAAAGTGTGGCAGGCTGACATTACTGAAGCCCAGCCTGTAATCTACAGACTGTAAAACTAGCATTTGGACTGCCACACACAGCAGGGCTATGCTCATGCTCAAGCCCTGTGACAGCCCGTAAAAATGTCCCTCAGAACTCTCTTGATATTAGTGCGCCCCACAGACTGCCAGGCACTGTGAGATATGCATCTGATATTTGCTAATCGGGTATTTGAAATCATTATGCGTTGTAATGCGATCACAGCTGTAATCAGATTGCATTAAAATACCTCAGTGACACACTTCTTCTATCACTTTCTATAGAGACAACATGGGCCAAGCAGGACTAAAAAGGGTTAATGAAGGATGAGTGAGGAAAGGATGAGAGTGGGAAGGAGGGAGGAAGGGAGGTTGAGGGAACGGCCTTGCTCAGTCCTAATCTGTAAACCCTTCAGTTGGCCTTGAAGAGACGACCCGAGAGAGGAAGACAAGTGTGCGACGTGGACGCCTTTACTGGCCTGAGATCAGTTTATCAGTCTGCAAAGAGCTCTGTACTTTAACCCTCTTTTTCATGTTTAATGTGTCATGTGTAGACAATAAAGATAATAAATAGTAGTATTGTAAAAAAAAGGCTATATAGTTAAAATAAAATATAATATTAATATATAATATTAATATAAAATATAGTTATTATAAAAGGGTGAATATCTTGTTCTTTTCTGAATTTACCTCATATTTTCCATTCAAATTCTTTTAATATGTTCCTCTGACCTAATTAAAACCCATTTAACAGATAATGTTTTTAAATATAATATCAAAGATATTATAATCAAATATAATATCATTGATTCTTTTTGGGGTCCGTTTTATGGCAATATATAATAAAGCCATTCCTCATGGCATATGTGAGCAAATATAGTGTGTATAACTAAACAAATCAGATCCTATTTTTCATAGAGAAAGTTTGGGGTCTCTCAATCTAAGCATTCCTCGGTTTCTTCACCTGTCTAAAACAGCAGTCAAGATCAGTTCTCTGGTTGCAGTCAAGCAATGCAAGGTTGCGTATAAGGCTATTTGACACTGGGGCATAAATACTTTCTTAAATATCTCCAGAATTACATACAGATTTTATTATCCATTGTAATTTCTAAATCCGCACGCACATGTTTAATGCTAAAACCAGCCCCTTTTATTTGCCACTTATCGGGTTCCTTTATGAAACGGCAGATCTCTAGAGATTACACTCATCCCCCGCGCCTCCAGAGACCCAAACGATTTCAGCAGAGCGATCATAAAAACCATAATCACCTGGTTTTAAGCTCATAAACTGCTTATGAGTTGAATGTGTTGATTAGAACATCTTAAGGTTGAAGATGAGTCTGGATGAAACTCAAAATAGCTTGACACAGGAATCTGTCAGCGCTCATTATACGCTTAAAATCCAAAAGACAATGAATGCAGAAGCGAAGCAAAAGAGCCAAAGGCAGAGAGCGTTTCAGCTTCAAGGGACCAGACCGGAGTGCAGCAGGTCGGCCGTGTTTGATTCAGTCGAGTTTGTTTGTGGTGGAATTACATTTGGTTTACGGTTTACTTACTGCATACTGTTTTTTTTATTCTTCTTGTGTTCAATTCTTAAGGTTGATCATTCCAGTTTCAATGGACAGAATTGTTAGTTTTTTTATTGAAAGGTTTTGTTTTTTGTACTAAAATGCTTGATGTGTGTGTGCTGTTTCTTTGCATTTTGAGCCTGAGATTAGGAATCTCAAGAGGTATTTACCCTCCCTCTAACTTCTTGTTATCTCTTTACTTTTTCAGTCGTGACAGTGACCTCTCAACGATCATCTCCAACCTGCACCACACCCGACAGCACGGCATGCCCGAGGGCCAGCCCTGCTCCGACCTCAGCCTCGCCTCTGCACACTCAGGTAAGACACGCCTAGAGACAGCACACCTGAGACGCACTTACGCATAATCGGAGATTAATGTTCTGGTATGTTATTATCCATGTGTTTTGGCCCTTATGAAGTGAATACATACAGTACTTATGGGGCAAAAGCAGATCCATGGACATGAATAGGAAGTTGTCTGGATAAAAGCAGATGAAACATGCTTTTATGATTATGATACACACTCAAATCTGTGAAATGTGCAGTATCTGACTTATAGTCTTGGATTATTGCTGTAATTGTTTCTATGGCTCTCTCTGTCTACATTATTCAGTTTTATTGCGATTTTTTTACAGGGTTTATCCTGTGATTGATGTAGAACAATTACACTGACTGCGTGTTAGTATTTTAATTTGGTTTAATCTGCATGATTGAGGGCTGTAAGCTCATTACTCGCTCCATTGTGGCCATCTTCATTCCATTACTTAATGCTCTTGTCTTCGCCTCTCTTAGCACACAACTTAAACCACCGTTAAAACTACTCTCAGTAAATAGCTTTATTTGTCATCAATCTCGGACCAAACAGAAGGACTACCGGGCATACTTTGTGTTAATCTCATTGGTCATCTGAACTCCATGTGGTCACTTAAGGGTTTAGTCATTTTGATCAGTCTAGTTTTTGAGTTAGGGTTTATGTATTGTTTGAAGATTTATGTCGCATTTTAATTTTTTTTATTTGACTATTTGAATGTCATTTATTTTAATAACAATAACTTATTGTATGTTCTAAATTTTATTTAATTACATTTTATATTTATAGTTTTACTTCCAAGTCTGAACCACATGGTCACCCACAGGTTAAGTAATCTTGTTTTTTAGTTATGCTTAAATATGTATTATTTGAAGTTTTTGTTGCCTTTTAAAATATTTAATTATAGAATTATATATATTAATGGTATTTAATCAATTCTCTACAGCTTCCATTTCAGCTTCTGGTGTAAACTATTCTTGAAGTTTAGACATTTTGCATTTTGCACTAAAAAGTTTGATTTATTTATAGAAATTATTATTTCAATTAATGGTATTTGTTTAGATTGCAGTTAATACTTTATAGTTGAGTCATACTATGGAGGATCCTATAATTGGTTTGTGGACAAATGGCCATATGTGAATATACTGTATGTGGCTAAATCCTATTACAGTGGCATTGGTCCAGCATAAAACAGTCCCAGTCCTGATCCAACAGCTCCAAAGATGGATCAAATCACCTATACTGGACTGGAGATTTATACTAGTGTAGAGATCTAAGGGTTGGGTTAAAAACAAGTCTAGTATAATCTCTCATAATTTAAATGGAAGACGCTCAATTAATCTTAATCTTAATTGAAGAAGACACAAAGTAATAAGAGAGGAAGCCACCTGCAGTGTGGCTGATGACCAAAATCTGTCAATTTGAGCATTTAAAAGAGGTTTAACGGGTTTAAGCAGCTAGACTCATGTCTGTAAACAAGTCCAATCCGATCACCCAGCGCATCTAATTCTGTCTGCCAGTGAAATTAGAGAGCCTCCGTCTCTGGGCCAGGTTAAGGGTCGAACGGATAGAACAGACCCATTTGGGCATGCGTTTTTTTTTTTTCTTTCGTTGATCAGATCATGAGAATTCAGCACATTTATCAAATTATGCATTTCACCACATGCCGTTGCAAAGTTGGATGTACCAGTATGTTAAATTTGACGCTTAAATAAGCTTAAATCAATGCAGACTTAAGTGTCCGTATTTCCATGTTCAGCTGTGAGACTCCAACAGCTTTTTTTTCTCCGTCACACAGTCTCTTTTACTTCCTCTCAAGTCTGATTTCTTCTGTGGGTATGTGGTTGAGCGAGAGAGAGAGAGAGGGAGAAGAAAAGGTTGGAAAAGTGCAGAACAAATGAATGAGCAGAGCGTCGTATGGTATCAAGGGAGGGTGGACTGCAGTGTGGAGTCGCGAGACAGGCGGAGGAAGAGGAAGCCGACTGCCGCGCTGGGGTTGCTGTGCACCGGAGAGGCCCGTTAATTAAATCTGAGGGACAGACATGAGAGCTGACCCAGGCGTCAGCCGCAGCCAGTCAGCGACGGAGGAGAGGCGGCTCCTGCTCCCCCACCCTCACCCCCTCCGTCCGGCCGGCCGGCCTGCTGGCCCCAGCGAGGGATGGGGGGAGGGCAGGGCGCCGGCAGCTCGTCTGGCTCTCTGTGTAGACTCCTAAACGTGGCTTTGCGGTCAGACCAGAGACTCTTAATAGGCGTATAAGGTGTTTTTGCTTTTTTCCCCTCCCTCTCTGCCGCACTCATGCTTTCCTAAAGGCAGACAAGAGCGTCTGCGGGAGTCTGTTGTGTATCTGGACCAGTGCGTAGACGTATATTCCCTGAATTTGTATGTTATAATCTTAATCTGAAGATCTCTGAAGATGCAGCATTTGCATATTTATCCTGCAATTGAAGTGTCCAGTCACTGATGTTTATCTTTTTTCCTCCTACAAATCTAGTCTACTTATCCTGTGCATGAACATGAACATGAACATTTATTGCACCTAAGTGTGAGCCTTAATCGACTCTGTAAACCGACTCTGACACTGTAAATCACTTGGGATTTAACAGTTTAACAAATAAAAAAATGTAAAGGTATATTATATAAAAGTATGAAATAAAATTACTTTAAGAAATGTTCAAGAAACATTTATTATTATTATTATTAAAAGTTTGGGGGCAAGTTTTTTTTTTTCTTTTAAAACTTTTATTCATCAAGGATGAATTCAAATCAATCTAAAGTGACAGTAAATACATTTATAATGTTACAAAATATTTATATTTCAAATAAAAGCTGTTCTTTTGAACTTTCTTTTTTGAAGTATCCTTCAAAAATATAAATCCCGGTTCCCACAGAAATTTTATATAAAATATTGAATAAAACATAGAAAATATAATATAAAATGATATTATATTTATTTTATTAAATAATATATAACAACATATAGTTTTAAATAGCTGTACATTTTAATTGGAATTATATATAAGTTTAAAAAAATGGCTTTACATTTTGTTCCACTTGAGTTTAAAAAAGTATAATCCAAACAGTAAAACAAATTTTATGAAACTAAAAGAATTTTCATATCTTTCCATGATTTTTCATCTCACCTAATCTGTAAAGCAGTCTGGCCTAGTTAATGCTACCATCAAACGGTGCAAGCATAATTATAATTTTTTTTTTTTTTTTTTTTTTTTAACATTTTCTATTTTCTGTTGATTTTCTGCCCGTTCACTGGCTGCCTTTTCTGCATCTTCCTGCATTTTCCTCAACCACCTTTTGTCTCCCCGTCTTTATTTTTCCCTCAATTGCGGCATTTTTTTTTTGCCTTGTTCTGTTGTTTTCTCGTTCTAGTTCCCATGATTTTGATCTCTCTCTCTTTTTTCGTCTCCCTCCCTCATTTTCTGTCTCTCCCTCTTTTTGTCTGTCTCTCCCCTAAGGCTCTCAGTGGGGGAGCAGCAGTAGAGGAGGACGGTTCTGAATCCTCTGGGCTGGCGGAAACGCCGTACTGCTCCCCCCCCCATAGCCAATCAATGCCATCCTTTCAGTTCTGGCCGAGCCCCGCAAACAGGGGGATCAATAAGTTATTAGCACCATTCTGTCAGCTGTAATGTGGAGATTGATTGGAGGTTGGGGCTCCGCCGCGCCGCCCGCCACTTCCCCTGCCTGATAAAGATGACAGATTAAGGGAATAAGAAAAGGGAATTAAGGAGTATGGCCTGTCCAACTTGTCAGTAGCTGGAGAGAGACGGAAGGAGCAAAGGGAGAAGGAGGAGAAAACCAAGAGCCTTGGTTTTCTCCAAACCATTTAGTCGTTTTGCTATTTCTCCATCAATCTAGCTTTCTCTTTTCTCCTCTCCTCCCTTTATTAAAGTTCTGCTGTTGTTTTGGCCCAGCTCTGCACCGCTCTGGCTGGAGTTGAAAGGAATTAGCAGCAGTGCTGGCGACAGGAGCCGTTCCGTGAGTTGGGTAACATGGCTAAGGCACGAGGCAGCTCCGAGTCTCACTGTTTGGTGTTAAATGTGAGCATCACAGCTTTAAGAGGCAACATTTAATTGGTATTAAAGGCTTTCCGCCTTAAAATCTCTGACCCTGAGGCAGACAGGCGCTGCTGAAACCCTGCCTCTCCCTTGAGTGCACTGAGAGACAGAGAGAGCGCAGTATTCTTGCTGCTGCTGTGGATTTTTGAAGTTCTTTGAATCTTTTTTTATGCATTTATTTATCAAATGAGCACTTAATTTCAAGCTAGAGAAGTAAGTGTGAATAGCATATTTTTACTAAAAAAGTTTGAATAATAAGACTAAAGTTTAATTTGGAAATTCGTGTACTAGCATTCTATATTTTATTTTGTATCATGCAGTGTAGACGGCATAAAATACTAACCAGTAGTAGTCCGAATGAAGCATATACTCTGCACTGTCCACTGAGTATGCTAGTATAACGTATATTTTAAAATAATAACACAAAACGGAGAACAGTAAATGGACAGGAGTTGGAAAGCAGTGGGTGAACAGTTAAAGGGTTAGTTCACCCAAAAATGATCACACAAATTAAGATATTTAAGATATTAATATCGCTCCTGCATACAGTCCATAGGCTTCTTGAGGGACTGGCTCTTGCTGTCCCCGAAAAGTCATTAAAGACATCGTTAAAATAGTCCAAGTGACTACAGGGGCTCAATCTTAAGTTTATCAAACGACGAGAACACTTTTGTGCGCAAAAAAACAACAAAAATAACGACTTTATTTCAACTATTCACTTCCTTCTCCATGAGCCTGTAAGTCAGTTAACGTAGTGTGATTGCGTAGAGCTACGTCACACGTAGGCTCACTATTGGCCGACACTGGTCATGTGTGTGTGATGCGTGTGACGTACAATAACAGAAGCTCACGCTATTAAACTAGTAACCTGACTCGCGCAGAGGGAGAAATAAACGAAAAGTTGAAATAAAGTCGTTATTTTTGTTGTTTTTTTGCG